ATTTATGTTTATGTATACACACACACACATAAACACACGTATTTCTCAGATATATGTGTGTGTACACATATATCTACTTATTTATTTTGGGTTATTGGAAAAGTCATGATGTATTTTTTTTTTTTCTATACAAAAATGTGTCATGATTGTCCAGCCATACATATGTAGGTATAACTCAATTCTCCTAACACCACGTTGGTGGGATGCGAACACATTTGAAATGTGTCTTTTCTGTGAATTGGACTCTTTCGAATCGACAAAGTTTGAGCAGTCACTATGAAACAGGACATTGGCAGGCCGGTAATTCTAACACTAGAGCAGTGGGGTTTGCAGAGAGAGCCCGGGCTCAGTGTTCAGAGCAGACAGCGGCGGGACAGGCTTCCGCGGCAGCTGGGCTGGCCGATGTGAACAGTGGCGTGATTGTGCAGAGTGATGGGGACCGTCTGAGAGGGGATAGACGCACCCCTTCCTTCATAGCGGAGCAAGCGCACGTGGAGCAGGCTTTTCCTACCCAAAGGAAGCCCTTGGGACTTCGGATTCGGGGGCTCAGAGCTGTGCGTTTTGCACTGAAATAGTTGATCCAGATCGGTACGGTCAGTAGCAGCTCTTCCTCTCGTGGGCCTTTTCGTGTTTCTCCCTCTGTTTTCTTCAGCATGTGCTGCAGCTCTCTGCCCTGCCCTGTACCTGCAGGAACAAAGGTGCCAGCCAGCACGGTCTCCAGCTCAGGAAACCTCCAGCTTGGTGGCATTATAAAGCCCTTAGGCTGGTGCCTGTCACATAATAAACACCCCATATGTGGCAACTGTACCACAGGTTGAAAATCCCTTATCTGAAAACCCAAGACCCAAAATGCTCCAAATTCCGAGACTTTTTGAGCTTTAACAAGATGCCACACGTAGGAAATTCCCCTCACGTGATAGATTGTGGTCAGCACAAGAACGTTGTCAGAGCTTAGCCACAGTGGCCGAGGCCACATGGGAGACCAGGGTTTGATTCCTGGCTCTGCCTAAAGAGGGATGCACCTGTGAGCAAAGCTACTCCAGAGTCTGAGGAAGGAGGACCACCAGTTTGAGGCCAGCCTGGGCAGCATAGCAAGATTCTACCCTCCAAACACAAAAGAGATAAATCAATAGGGATTTGTTTTAAAATGTCGCTTCTCAGAGTATTTTTGTTTGATTAAAATTACGGATAATGAAGACATGAGAAAGATCAAAGCATTGTCCTCTAAGAATAAGTAATATAGTTGGCCAACCCATGGGTGGTAGTTACAGCAACTGGCTCTCATGTGGCTGAGTGCATGCTTCAAATCTCGGATGAGAAACAGCCAGATGCAGGTGCGTTCATGCCCAAAATCCTGAAAGGAGGGAAGAAGAGAGGAGAAGGGATTATGGCATGACCATTCCCTGTGGAGGCTGCTTTCTCTCTCTCTCTGGTGAGCGCTCACCCTCTTTGGCTAAAGAATTTTTTAAAAAGCAGAACAAAGCGAATCTATATAAATAGATGTACGTGCATACATACATCTATACACACACAAAATCTCAGTAGACAGGTATGGAATTCAAAGTAATAAGTAGTGTTTTTAATAAAGTTTTTCATATAGGAGTAACAGCTAGAGTAAACATTTTACAACTGGAGAACACGTCAGTGAAGGCCCTCAAGTTGACAGGGTAATAAAGGATACAGAGGTATCCTAGCCCATCACTAGGGTTACTGGGGAAGCCGCAAGAGAGATGTCGGGGAGTTTGAGGGATACTGGGACTGTGGACCTTCACATCTGGTTCTTACGGAGCAGAAAAATATATCTCTATATGGATCACATTTCTTCAAACACTGATGCCTTCTGGTTCTCTAAGGAACGTAGAAGGTACTTCTTTCTGTTATATATATATTTTTTTTTTTTGAGAGATTTTCACTGTAGGGCGCGTGCGCTCGCCAGACAGACAGAGAGAGACATAGAGACAGAAAGCGAGAAATCACCCCCCAGGGGGGATGGTCACGCCGCAATCCCTTCTCCTCCATTCTCCTCTCGGGATCTTGGGCACGCACGCACACGCGCCCGGTGTGAGTTTTAAGCTACCGGGTCCGGGACACGAACCGCGGTCGACTACGTGGGAGTCCAGCGACATAGCCATTAGCTAACTGCTGGTTCCCTGTTATATATATTTTTAAACCATAAGTTGAATTTTGCCAACACGTCATCACAGATAGGAGTTTTAGATAAGTGTGAAGTCTGGCTGTATTACATTCTGTTCCTAAGTCCTGGAATTCTATCCACTCAGAGTATATATCACCCAACACATTTGCCTTATTAAAAGCAGCTTTAGTAGCTTTACTAGATGTTTAGTGGTTCACAGAAATCCAGAGCTAATGTTTTTAAGAGGCTGATGAGGGTGGAGCAGACACACAGCAAGCTGCAGGGAATTAAATGTTGTATGCGTTTTACAAGTGCCACACCAAGAGAAAGGAGTGGGGTTTGGAGAAGGTGGAAGCAGATTTCGTTGACAACCATGGCTTTCAGATGTTTAATTTAATTTTATTTATTCATTCATTTCATTTGACCAGACACACACACACACACACACACACACACACAGAGAGAGAGAGAGAG